TGCAAATTCCGTATCCAAACCATATTTTTAGTGATACGGAATTGTGCATTTTTCCGTATCCTATTATGATACGTTATTTCTAAGGAAAAAAAATCGTATAAAAACTTTATAAAAAACGTATCCAATTTTTTTATAGGGTTTCCTTTTTATACATTCCTCTTTTTACGCGTCTTAATTTTATTTTACACTTGATTTTTTCCTCTCTTCTTGATTTTTTACGCGTCTTGATTTTATTTTACATTTTATTTTTCTTTTCTTGGTTTCTTTTTACACATCTCTCTTTTACGCGTCTTAATTTTATTTTACACTTGATTCCTCTCTTCTTGATTTATTCTCCTTTTTTTACGCGTCTTGATTTTATTTTACATTTGATTTTTTCCTTTCTTCTTGATTTTATTATTTCCTTTTTACACATTTCTCTTTTTACGTGTCTTAATTTTATTTTACACTTGTTTTTTTCCTCTCTTCTTGACTTTATTCCCCTTTTTTACGCGTCTTGATTTTATTCCTCATTTTATCTATATATTTTACATACCTATTTTTTTTATATGTCTCATTTCATTCCTTCCATAATTTCTTCTTTTATATAACATGATATGGGTGAGCCAATACACCAATAGTTAATATAAAATTTTCTTAAAAAATCAAGGTAAATGTCTAAATAGTTTACTTATAAATTAAGACAGGTTTTTATGTAAATTTTGTAAATTTTATTATTTTAATGTATTTTTGTTAATTATTATCAATCATATCGAAATCTTTTTTGACTAATAATATACCACCACATAAATCTCTATATTCTTTCAGCACCAAATAATCCACATTAGTAGACTTTCCTTAAAAGTATATGACAAGCAAAAGAATTAGAATTAAGACAGTGTTCTAGCAACTAACCTTTTATAACTGACCAAGTTCCTTTGATCAGTTGATTGGAGTTTGCAATGGTAAAGTGGGTATAAACCAAATTTTGTTCATATTTTTTTAACAAACATGAAAGACAATTACTTTACAGAAACCTTCAATTTTTCTAAATATGTTTACAATATCTTTACAATATAACAGACACATCACTTTAGTATTTCTGTTATTTTCATTCTAACTATATGCTTACAATATGTAGAAAATATTACATAAAAAATCTGACAATCATATATCAAAAATATGTTTCGGATTTATATATTATATGACAATCACATATCAAGCATATATTAGAAATATAATTAGAAATTCAATATGACAACCATATATTAAACATGTATTAAAAGTATAATTAGTATATTATTTTTATATGATACCCATATATTAAAAATACATGATTACTCTTTTTATAACTATTACATATCTAAATAATATAATAATTACATGCCGAAATATAATAACAGCGATTAATAGTAATATGCCATAAAGTTATATATCGTCAAAAATTTGTTCCTCCTACCAAAGTCTTACATGTTCAAATACTCAAAAAACTGGTCATCTAAAAAAAATAGTATATGAAATGTTAGTGGTCATTTCATTCAAAAGAATTAGTTCAATAAAAGTAAAAACTTACCGGATCTTCCACTTTCCCAAGCACTTAAAAAACCAGCTATCTACAAAAAAAAATATGTAACATTAGTAGCTGTTTCGTTCAATAAAAATTATTAAAAATTTTACTAACGTCTAGACTCCAGAGACTGAAAGATACGCCTAAAAAAAAGAATTAAGAAATGGACTGTAAGTAAAATTGTTAAAAATAAAAAAAAGTTAATATTCTAAAACTTTGCCTATTAAGACAATAATAATAAATTAAAACAAAAATTAAAATTCTACGCGTCCTGAAAGTATCATCTAAAAAAAAGAATGTTCCTACCAAATTCCACACGTCCAAAGAGCCAAAGAGCTAACCGCCTAAAAAAAAAGAAAAAATTAGAAATTAATAACCATCCTTTAAAAGGTGGAATAAAGAAATTTAAAAATATCTTATCAAAATCCCATGCCTTGATTTTGTATTGAAGTTGTGGTTAATTTGGACGTACAGTGCTTGGATATGTTGCCCAAAAAAAAGAAAAGAACAAAAATATCAGTAATGTTTTGTTAAAAACAACATTAAAAAAAAATGTCACTCACATCCGTCAAAGATAATGAAAAGCTGTCTAAACTACAAAATGCAAAACACAAAACGTTAATTAATGTTTTGTCACATAAAAACCAAAAAGAACATAATTTATGATATACTTTCTAAACATTTTATTAATATGATCGTTGCTTTTTAGTAATTTCCAATGGTTATGTTACTTCAAATTTCCTACACGTCCAGTTGTCTAAAAAAAAGAAATTAGAAGTTGTTTTTTAAAAGATGAAGTAAATAAATTAGTTTATCATTATGACACCTACTGAAATACCATGTCCAAAAACCAAGAATTCACTTGAAAAGAAAAATAAGGAAGGAAAGGAAAAGGACGAAAAGGGAAAGGTAAGAGTGAGAGAAAGGGAAAGAGAAATTACGAGAGAGGTGATGGAAAAGGTCAGGAGAAAGGGAAAAGAAGATACAAGAAAGAAAGGAAAGGATAATTACGAGAGGAAAAGGAAAACTACAAGAGGAAGGGGAAATTACAAAAGGAAAGGAGTAAAGGAAAAAAAAGTTTAAGCTTAAACTATAAAAGCTTAAACTTTAATCAGTTGAATTGCACTGCAGTTAAGCTATAAATCACTGATTATCTTAGTGTTACAAGCTATGGTTAACAACATTTTATACATTGAAATAGTCAAAGTTTAGCAATGGTTTGTTTAATTTTCGTGAAGTTTTATTAGCTGACTAATATTTGAATTTTAGCCAAAACCAGGGAGCGTCTAAAGCTGTGTTTGATCACGTGATTTTTAATAGTGCAGGCGTGATAAATAGATATGTGACAAATAATTTTTCAACTCCGGGATATATTATAGGACCCTCTATATTAATAGGGTTCTCTGTCATTATTTCTAACTTTCTTACAAGTGTTATGTGTAACTTTTGTTGTTTTGGTTATTTTTTCTGAATTTGCATGTTATTCATTCTAGTTGACCTTCTTTTCCTTTCTTGCAAAGGTAATTGGGTGTCATTGGCTTCTATTTAGTAAGAACGATGATTCAGAAATATATGTAGATGAAATAGCAATATCAGTATGTGGAAATGATTCGGAAATTGATGTACCATACTACCACATGATACCAATTGGATACTAGCAAAGTATTTTCATCCATTTTTGGAGATATTGGTATATCAGGTGATTGTGATTCAGAAATTAGAGTAGGTAGTGATGCCACTTTCTCGAGTTTTTTATTAGGTGGTGTGATACTTTTGTAATTAAGAGGTGGGTTAATGCTTGGATAAAAGCTTCTTAATTTTTTTTAAATAGTTTCAACTTAGAAAACTTACTAGGTTTCGCTCATTGACCAAAATTAAGATGCCAAAACCTACAAAAGAGAAATAAACAATATCATACTAACATTTTTTATTAAAGTTTCAGACTTTTTTCGAAAATTTACCTGAGATTCAGAATCAAAATTTGACCAGATTCCTACAAAATAGAAATAAAGAAGTGTTACAGTAGTACAATATTCTTTTAAATTAGTTTTTGAACACTTACTATGATTCCAGCACTTTGAAATCAGAACCGGCCATCTATAAATAAGAAAAAATGAACTTTCAGTAACAGTTCGTTAAAAACCAACCGAATCCTGCGTCCAAAGAGCTGAAAAGTTGTCTAAAAGTTAAAAACATGTTAGCGATCATTTCATTAATATTAATTCAAAGGAAAAATATCCACTCATCGAATTTTCCACATGTCCAGATACTCCAAAGAATACAAAAGAAAAAAATGAAATGTTCATTAGTAGCCATTTTGTTAAAATACTTTACTAATGCCCAAACTCCAGAGCCACTAAAAAAAAGAAAAAGAAATGAACCGTTAGTACCATTCATTAACATAAATGAATTATAAAAAGAACAGGAAAATAGCTCACCAGATTCTTACGCGTCCAAAGACTCTTCCTGCCATTTAAAAGATTAACGATTCCACGCCAAATTTCCATATATTCAAGGCCAGCCCATTAAAAAAAAGAAAAGATGAAACATTAATAAAACATTTTGTTAAATGAATAATTAAAAAGGAAAAAGACAAACTGTTAGTGAAGTTTGTTGAAATAAAATAGAAAAAATTTTAAAAATTTTGAAAAACTTATCAAAGTTTCGCGTTCAAGGAGACCGAAAAAATGGCCTAAAAAGTTTCGTTTAGGATTTTTTTCCAACAGAAAGTATGAGGTGGGTAAGGGAAAAGAAAGATGAAGAAAAGGGAATGGTAAGAAAAGGACAAAAGAAGAGGAAAGACAAAAGAAAGGACAAAGGGAAGGGAAAGAAAAATGAAAGAGAGTTTAAAAAAGTTAAAAAAAAAGTGTAAATTGATTGATTTAGGAGCCTAATTGCTGATCATTACCGTTGAATATAGGATATTTATCATTGATAAAGAAGGTTACACTTTATTGAAATATATTGTTGTTAATAAAAATATTTTAAATAATCGGAATATAATTGGAACATTTTCAATTTGAATACAAAATCGGAATATCTTCAAAATTTTTTCGGAGTATTTCCTAATACTTTTTATCATATTAAAATTTCTAAATTTTAACTTGAAATATAATCGGAATGTTATCAGTATAATCGGAGTATTTTCAATAAATTCGGGAAAAAATTGGAGTGTATCCGACAAAAATTTTTTATAGGGCTAGGCCGGCCACCGGCCCTAGGGTATGACTTTATACGACTAAAATTGAAAAAGTTAAATCATGACGATCCGCCGCAGTAAAAATTGTCATTTTTTTTTGCACACCACTGTATGTAATACGTTATTAATTTCAGTTAGAATTATTTCAAATATGGTTGGCTTTAAACAAAAAATAAATGAAATTTTATTTACAAAATAAAAAAAAAAAAATAACAAAATAACAATGGTAGATCACATGATAATCTACCAATTAGTATACTGTAAGTGTGATTAAAATTAAATCGACTTTTAATCAAAATGAACTTTAATATGAAAATGATCTGCGAGCGATCCAAAAAAGTTTTATATTCCATCTTTTTTCCGTAAAAGGCTCATATTTCCGGAATTAATAACCTTTATATCACACTTTCCGTGAATGAATCCGAGAAAGGCACATTTTATGGAGTTTTTACAAAAATAACGGAAATTTTTTATGGAGATTCCTTTCTTAGATAATAATTAAATTTAAAAGATGAAATTTTTTATAGAGATTACTTTCTTAGTGATAATAATAATTAAATTTAAAAAGAAATCAAAAATTTTTTCTTGAATCGATATTCCATGTCATTTCAGGAATTTATAGTCACAAAAAACCAGAGATTTTTTTTTTGAGTCACGAGTAAAGAAATATATAAACATCGAGTTTTTTTCTTTTTTTTTAAAAAAACAAAAGTAAAAAAAGTAACTTCATAACATTATATATCTATATTAAACCATATTTTATCTTGACTAGTTATTATTTCCACTTTGAATAACTTATTTTTAACCCTAAAATTCTTAATTTCAAAAATGAATGAAAATTTTATATTTTACATATTGATTGTACTGGTGACAGTCATGGCTAATTCAAAATATACGGTTGCAGGTTCTATAGTTACTAAAGTATTTGACATTAAAGACGATACGATTGCTTATTGGACACCTGAAAAAATGAGAGATGCAATATCCTTAACAACTAATGAATCTGAAAATAATAATAAAACGAGAAATGCAATACCCTTAACAACTAATAAATCTGGAAATAATAAAACCAATTATCGTACTAAAAGAGATCGGCCAGTGAAGAAATCGAATTTTAATCCCTATGTTCCTTATGGAAAATTATTTTTTCATAACACCGGCGATGGTAAAGATTATTTTTGTACTGCTAGTGTAATTAGGACTGAAAATGGAAATATCGGGCTTACTGGCGCACATTGTATTTATGATCAAAATAATAATTGGTCTTCAAATATGGTTTTTTGCCCCGGGTTTGAAAATGGGGAATGTCCGGTTTCTATCCCCGTTAAAGGAGGTTCTGTAGAAGTAGTAAATGGCAACTATTATTATGATTACGGCATGATTAAGTTCAATTACGATCAGGGTAAATTGCAAGACAAAACAGGATGTTTCGACTGGGATACTAATCCTGGAGATACAGTTAATGATATCACTGTAATAGGCTATCCAATAAATGGTGAAATTGCAAATTGTAAAAAAGATGGAAGTTCCCTTTGTCAATGGAGTGGGAGTTCGTTTAGATCAGGTAGTTTTAGATACGTACCTATAAATACCGGAAGTGGTTCAAGCGGAGGCCCTTGGATTAGAACATATGACAGTAAATCTCAAACAGGCTGGGTAATTGGTAGTACAAGCGCTAGTTCACCTGGTTCAACTAATTCAGCCATATATTCTTACGACGAATTCACGAAACTAATAAATGAGGCTTCAAAACTTTAAACTAATTAAGACAATAACTTTATCTAATATGTATAATTTATTACCATTTATTTACATTTTAATTTGATTTTATAGTTGTACGAAATTTAAATAGAATAATAACAATAAGTAATAATAGAATTAAATAAATAACTTACTCCCTAAATACTAAATTAATAAACAATTGTTTTACATATAAAATTACAGTTTATTTCGAGAATTTCATGAACGGATAGTTAAATAAAAACAATACGAAATTTTAAGTTAACATTAACTAACGTATACTTATCGATTAAGACTTCGATTCTATAAATTTTTTTTCCGTGAATATGATATCATTTATGAAAATATAAGTAACTTCATTTTTAGTTATAAAATTCCGTGAGTATGATACGTTTAAAGAAATAAACATAGAACATCGAATAACGGAAAAATTTTTTTTTTTTATGGGATGAACTTCGGAGGTTCCATTTTTGATTAATGATCAACTTCAGGACCTTCGAAAATTCCCGAAAATGAAAATCCCATGAATTTTAAATGAAATTTTATAAAAAGTACATTACATCATGTCGATCATTATAACTTAAAGTAATTCCTATTAAAATTCACACGTCCATAACTCCTCTAGATTCTTCTTATTGTTTTCATTCTGCGAAGAATACTTCAAATAGTTGTCTTCCATATGACACCTTCCTTTCCAAATATTTTCAAAAAAGCGAGGTGTCATGATTTTTTTTAGATTCTTGTGTATTTCTTTAATCCTTTAGTATTGCACAAAAGACTAATAATATATGATTTATCGAATTTAAAAAGTTTTCAGAAATTTTAATAGTTTCTATTTCAACTCATTGCACGGATAGAGTAAAACTTTTATGTAATTTATTAATATCAAAAAATCTAAAAAATCTGAATTATGATAATCTAAAATACCCAGAATTTAATTCATAACCGGCATAAATTAATCCATATTAAAGAATAATAAAAAAAAAAATTATTTATAAATAAGTTATGTACAATGTCATATCTAAATGTACAGTATATCATCTTTTTATATTATTGGATGATAATATTATCGGTTTGACGGGACCGTTCATGCAATTTTTATATTAAACTCCCGTTACTATTCAATAATTTTATTATTATGCTAATACATAGTAATATGAGATAACCGACCTAAATAACAATTATATAAAATCTGCATGAACTTATGAGAATAGCTGATAATATTTTTTAACGAACTGATAAGAATTGTCTTAGCATATATACACTATACAGTATATATATACCGCAGCCATATTGCTCACGTGCCCGAGCTTTTTTGTCATATCAGTCATATGAATATAAGTTACTCATGGTCTTCCCCAGTAACACGGTCATTATCCTATCCTGCTGGATCATTATATCGTCACAGGGCCTTCATTGATTGGTGAAAATGGTCAGGGTGGTACTAATCTACCTTCATCTTTTTTGCCCTCTTCTCTGCTATAGCATCACTTTTTAACTTCTCAGCTAAACAGTTAAAAATCATTCGGTCCTGTGACCTATGTAGCTCCCCTATAAAAAAATTGGATACGTTTTTTATAAAGTTTTTATACGATTTTTTTTCCTTAGAAATAACGTATAAAAATAGGATAAGGAAAAATGCACAATTCCATATCACAAAAAATATGGTTTGGATACGGAATTTGCACGGAATTCATATGGAATTTACATGATTTGATCACTGATTTTATCACGAAATTTATACGATTTGGTCACTGAATTTACTATTTGTATTACAGTTTACTATAATTATATTTATATAAATCTAATTTTACTTTATTAAATTAAATAAAAAATAAAAAATAAACAAAATACAAATACATTATGAAAATTCCCTCCTTATTAAAACCACCTATTGCAACCAAAATTACCTATAAGTTCAGGTTCATTTGGAGTCAAACAAC